AAAAAAAAAAAAAAAAAAACACCGACAACATTATACAGTAGCATTTAAAATTTCAGTGCAACTCCTCTCTGTTCAACGGTCAAACAAGAATACCTAATTTTCAATGGACTTGAGATAGAACTTTACATACCTAATATTCTTAATTACATGGGGTGATAATTAATTATTTATCCCTTTTAAGAAATTGAAAGGAAAGAAAAAAAAAAAGTTGAATTTTATAAGGTGTGAAAATACCACATGACTCGTATATGCTTTGATACTTTGAGGAAAATTATTGAGCTCATGCTTAATGTCCTTTTTGTGGAATACTTTCAAATTCTGGTCATATGATAATCATTTAGGATGAAAAAAAAAATGATTAGTTTACTTATCCATATTCTTTGTCATTGACATCGGCCGTCCACTCTAAAAGGTGCTCTCAAATAGACCAAGAAGGAAGCCGGCGAGAGGGAGTGGTTGGCAAACCAAGTTGAAGAAAGCGGTGCTAGCGACTACCGTGTACTTCATTTGGAATGCTAGGAATCGGTTGGTGTTTGAGAACGATTACCAAGCTTCGAGTCTCGTAATCCGCAAGGTAAAAACACATGTTTACCGAACTATTTTTTGCAACTTATCCAAATGTGCTTGTTGAATTTGAGAGTAGGAGTCTTGGGCTTTGAGAGTCATTTCAGTGCCCTTACTTGCATGCGTCCACCGGCGTGAGTCCACCGAGCCGTCCGTGTTGCCGAGGTCCCTTGGGACCCTGTGCCTTATTTTTTTGTGATTTTGGAGAGCAACCGATTTGTGGTTCGCCACGCTTTTCTTTTATTGCGAATGTCGAATGAGGAGCCGATTTATGGTTGCCCATTTTTCTTTTATTCGCCGGCTTTCGGTTGTCCGAACTCATTTTTGATCTATATATTTACATTTACCGATAAAAATAAAAAAAAAAAAGACAACGAGTTTAGATAAACGCGTAGCAAAAATGCTATGGAACCATCGGATGGTTCCTTTATGGAGTCATCCATAATTTTATGTTTAGATATACGAGTTTAGATATTCTTTGTCCAATGTGTACAATACAAAAAATTTTACAACTAATGAATAACAATTGATAACAATAAACAACAATTTTCATATGAACATTTATTTTGATTATGAAGTGGTTAATTTCTTTGTCAATTTCTCTGTCTATTTATTCGTCAATTGCATAAATTAGTAAATTAAATTAAAACAATTGATAAGAAGCAATGTAAAGATATCTGATCCGCACGATACATATATAACTATGTTATATTAAACTCCAAACTTGAGAGAAAAAAAAAAAA